AGGTTCATACATTTACAAGTAGGGGAGACTGGGGCACTCTGGGACAAAAATCATAATTTTCAATCTCCTACTAAACATATCTTAAGGATTGATGCTCTCTTTCGTGGATGAAAAGAACAATATATACTTGATGTAACAGATATCTAACTTAACCTAAAATAATTAAGTTGATTTGGAGATATGCATTAGAATATGGTCATTAAAATGTCCCAGAGTGCGCTGAGCTAGGGGTACTCTGGGACACCATATATGGTACAGTGGGACATGCTTGGGTACATAGGACAACATATATAATTTCATTGAAACTGAAAAAGTACTGGAAATGAGAATTTGCAGATGTTTTAAAAATGTAAGTTTTTCCATTGCATGTTAAATGTGGTATTCTGCTTAAGCTCTGTGGGGGAGAGGGCGGCAAATTGCACTTTTCATTACTGTTTATGAAGAGGCTCAGTCAAACTGAACCTGCAACATTTTCAATTTTGCTGTGTTGGGCTTTCTTTAGGAATTCTGTTGAAAATTTTCCATTCTTTTTTTTTTGAAAAAAAAAGGTAGAGGTATTGCTATAGGCGCAGCGGCGTCTGCCGTTCCCGTCCGCAAACTTGTACCTGGATCATAACTTTTTTTATTTCTTGGTGTATTGTCTTTATACTTGGCCACAACAACCCTTGGGACAAGACCTATCAGTAGACCACACAAACCTTGACCTTCATCCATAAATGACCTTGACCTTCAAAGTTAAAAGTCCAAATTTTGCTTGTTCATGCTGTTATTGGCTGTAACTTTGTTATTTTTGAATGAATTGTCTTCAAACTTGAACATAATAATCTTCAAGGATATCCATTAAAAATAACCAGACAGACCTTGACCTTCACTCATAAATGACCTTGACTTTGAAGGTCAAATTGAAATTTTCATTTTTTTGGCTATTATTGGCTGTAACTTTGTTATTTTTGAATGGATTGTCTTCAAACTTGAACATAATAATCTTCAAGGATAACCCTTAAAAATAACCAGACAGACCTTGACCTTCACTCATTAATGACCTTGACTTTGAAGTTCAAATTATTGAAATTTTCATTGTTTTGGCTGTATTTTTGCTATTATTGAAGGGATCAACTTCATATTATAACAGAACATACTTAAGGATAAGACCTTGTTGTTTATCAAACACTTGGGCTCTTTAATGACCTTGACCTTGAAGGTTAAATTACTGAATTTTCTCAGATTTGTGCATTAAATGACCATATATATTTATTGGTGTGTGTGTGTGTGTATATATATATATATATATTTATTGGTTGTGTGTGTGTTATATATATATAAATATATATATATATATATATATATATATATATATATATATATATATATATATATATATATCATCATCATCACCATGTGACTTCACCACGTGACACCACCACATGACTCAACCACATGACTCCACCACATGACACTACCACGTGACTTACTCTACCGCATGACTTCACCACATGACTTCACCACATGACTCAACCACTTGACACCACCATGTGACTCTACCACATGACTCTACCACATGACTTTACCACGTGACTCTACCACATGACTGCACCACATGACTCCACCACATGACACCACCACGTGACTCTACCACGTGACTCCACCACTTGACTTACTCTACCACGTGACTTCACCACATGACTTCACCACATGACACCACCACGTGACTCTACCAAGTGACTCTACCACGTAGAGTACTCTGGAACAGTGGATTCAGTATGTTCTACCACGTGACTCAACCACGTGACTCCACCACGTGACTCTTCCAGGTGACACCACCACGTGACACCAACACGTGACTCTACTATGTGACACCACCACATGACTCCACCACGTGACTTTACCACGTGACTCCACCACATGACTCTACCACGTGACTCCACCATGTGACTCGGCCAAGTGACTCGGCCACGTGACTCCACCACTTGACACCACCTTGTGACTCAACCACGTGACACCACCATGTGACTTAACCACGTGACTCAACCATGTGACACCACTACATGACTCCAGCACATGACTCCACCATGTGCCACAACCACATGGCTCCACCACGTGACTCCACCACGTTACACCACATAACTCAACCACGTGATACCACCACAAGACACCACCACGTGTCAACCATGTGACACCACTACGTGTATCTATTTATAGAATTACATGTTTCTATTTATAGAATTTTGTATTGATAGAATTGTGTGTTTCTATTAATATATATGTATATATATATATATATATATATATATATATATATATATATATATATATATATATATATATATTATATATATATATATATATATTAATTAGTATATTTACAGGGGCGGCGAAATCAATTGTCCGTATTTTGCCCAGGTTGTCCCACAGCCTGTACGGACAAATGGAAATTTTCTAAAATTTACTATATAAGTATAATACGGACAAGTAAGGAAATGCTTCAAGTAAAAACAGACAAGTTAGTCAAAATCAGATTTTGCCGGCCCTGATTTATATATACAAAATATATAGACAAAACTTATGTGACAAGACAGACAGATTAATTTTATAAAAAGGAAACGTTAAGATTTTGTTCAAACATTTCTTTCTTTGCTTTTAGAGAAAGTAAAAAGTCGAGCGTTGCCCCCGCCCGGCGGTGGCTCTTGTTTTTTTAAATTTTGATAGACCTGTGCGTATAATCACACTTGTTTTGTCCATGCATTAATCATTTCCATAAATGAATGACGAAGTTAGGTAAATAGAATTAAAATTCATTAATTGACGTTCATTGTCATGTAAAGGTCAAGAACATATCTAAATTATTCCACATGTCTGTTTGATCACAAGTGTTGTTATGTCCACATATGAATCAAATTCATCCAAAATAAAAAAAAATATGACAACCAAAATTCAATAATTTGGCCATGACGGTCAAGGTCAACCTTCAGAGCTCCAGATAGCGTGCGTATAAGCGTAAAATACGCATAGAAAATCTAAAATATGCATCACTTTCAAAATTCGTGCGTCAAAGTTACGCACAACAAAATGAAAATACGCTCGTATGTCAAAATTTATGCGTGAAAGAATAGAAGTGTAAACATTTGATATATAGAAAGAAGATGTTTTGAGCATAAAAATACATGTACAATGTATTTCCATTTTATTGCATTGAAAACTAAAAATTCTCTTGTCAAAAACGCATGTTAAAAGTAGCAGGAAATACAGAAGGGAGGTAACTCCCGTAGATCAACCTGTGAAATTATTGATAAAATCATCGCCACTTACAGCAAAGGAAAGAAAATTTAAATAATTTGACCTTCAAGGTAAAGGTCATTGATAAGTGAAGGTCAAGGAATGTCTGCTGAACTTGAAGGTCTATCATAAAAAGTTATTATGTTTGAAGTTTGACGACAATCCATTCAAATTACAAAATTATAGTCACCATTTGCAAAAATCAGCAAAAAAATAGATATTTGATCTTGAAGGTTAAGATCATTTATGAATGAAGGTCAAGGTAAGTCTGGTCTACTTAAAGGTCTTTTTCAAAGGGTTGTTGTGGCCACGTATGAAACCACAACACCAAGAACTTAAAATGTTACAATCAAGGTTAAAAACTGCGGACGGCAAAAGGAACGGCAACGCCGTCATGACACTAACAATATCTCTTTTTTTTCTTCTTTTTAAAAAAAAAGTTGACGATAGGCTCCCCCACCCCCCACCCCCCCCCTTTTGGGTGATGGCTAGTATATCCATGTTTGATACATCAAGATAGCATAGGATTAAACAGATTGGTCTGGAATCCTTTAAAAATATTTTCTAGTCTCAGTAGGTCTTTGACTGGTAAAAAGGTTGATATCTTGAAAATGAGTTCCGATGGAAGACTTTGTAGAAGATTGACTTATCATAATCTGTTAAGGAATTGTGATAAATAGATTATATAAGATATTGTCAAAGTCTATCCTGCATATAATGTAACTCTAATATACCAAATATAACAACAATATGCTGTACTGGTGTTCTGAAATCAGAATGCGGGGTACTCTTAGACAGTGTCCCACTCTGAGTGTACTGAATCCACTGTCCCAGAGTACCCTAACTACCCCCACCATTTTTATGTGACAATAATTAAAAAAGACAACCAAACCAAGATTTATTTCAAATCAGAAAATATAGGCAATCACGGTTTAGCACATTATCATTTACAAATATGATACAAATAAGTATTCAATATGGAAGAATTTGAAAACAATATTTGTCTTTTCTAGAATTTCACTTTGAAAGGTTTTGTTTGTTTGTTTCATTTTACGCCTTTTCCCAACAGCATTTCAGTCATATAGGCGGGTAGTTTCCTAACCATCGTTCATGGAGAGTTACACCAGTACTGGACTAACTTCCTCCGCGCTAAACTACCAAAGCATCTCCCGGGGATTGAACCATGCCAGAGAGGTAACTGGATTAAGTCATCGACTCTAACCTCTCGACCATGGATGCAGTCATACTTTGAAAGGTAAAAAGTACATTGTACTAGCCAGACTGATTTTTACTCAATTTGCCGCCATGAAACTTTTGTAGAGAAAGAAGCTTGACAAGATCTATCGTCTGCTTAAATCAGAACAAAAGGTATCAAAAAATTCCATAGTCCCACAGTGCCCCTTGTCCCAGAGTACCCCAGTCTCCCCACCCAACTTTTAGTTTACAGCCCCCGGAGAACTCAAGTGTTAAAAGATTTTAATAATTTATATGTTGCGGATTACATGCGGTTGTTCGTCTGCTATTAGCATTGTCACGTGACTACCAGCAGTGAACCACACCAGGATAAAATGGTGAAAGATGTAAATAAAAGCACCGGTGACCTAAATCGGAGATAACTTGAGACATTTTTAATATTCTAAAAAAATATTTTTTACGCCGAGCATTGGTATTCGCGGAGCATTTGTCCAACCACTCTAGATTTAGATGCAATGTTAAAATAATTCTAGTGTGACGATCCCAAGGTTAAGCAATGCGCATATATCAAACTCAAAGACGAAGATGAAAAGACACTCACAATATGGTGATGATGATGATCATCCAAAAAAATTAACGCTGAAACGACATTTGGGCCAAATTGAAAATGTAAAAGTTTTAGTACAGCCATCACATGTTCGTGCTTATCCTTCCAAAAAACTTAAAACTGACTGGGATTCACTTTTCTACAACAACTTTGATTTCAACAAGAAATGTAAAGATGGATCCCTTCTTGGGAATGATTGTTACCAAACACCAAAGCAAAGACAAAGTTTTCTTGTAAGAGGCAAAGAGATGAAAGCTTATTTCCACCTTTTAGGTAAGCATTAACAACCCATACTTAACATGTGCTCTTTCACATTTTGGTGATCTGTTTAAATGAGAGCGCTCATCACTTGTGTTAGTAGAGTACCAATATCAGCTAATGCAAAAAGTGTCATTTCCTTCGTTTAAAAAATAATTAGGTCTAACTTTAAGCCTATTTGACAAAAATATAAGTGACATAATAACTTTTATGTCAACATCATACTTTAAGATGTAATCACATGTTTAGATTACAATATGCAAGCACTTGACCTACTTAAAAAAATATTATTTCTATTATATATAACTTAGAGACAATTCCTCATGTTCAATATTGAAAGGGAATATTAATACATTGATTTTAAAACAATCAATATACTGTGATAATTTAGTATTCAACTGTGTAATGCTTGCATATGTTTTAAAGATATAAATAATTAAAATAATATCCATAAAATAAATAAATTTGATAACTTCATGATTTCAATATTAAAAATTTAATGTATAAAAGGAATACAGTCGAGACTGCCTTAGGGACCCCATGATTTTAACGACTCCCTGTCTTATCTGACCTTGTTTCAGTACTCCCAACGTATTTTACTATATAAATGGTCTTATTTTATTTACATAAAAAATTTTATGTTTATTATCCCCCGCCGAAAATTTTCGGCCGAGGATATAGAAATAGTCTCTGTCCGTCCGACCTTCCGTCCGTCCGTCCGTCCTTCCGTCCGAAATTTTTGTCCGGAGCATATCTCTAAAAGTATTTGAGTTATCAACTTGAAACTTCATAGGTGGATAGACCTCATTGAGGAGGAGTGCAGTGCACAAGAATGATAACTCTACCTTGCATGATTTTTGAGTTATTGCCCTTTGTTATTTTTCAAAATTGATTTTTGTCCAGAGCATAACTCCAAAAGCCTATGAGATATTTACATGAAACTTCATGGGTGCATAGATCTCACTCAGGAGGTGTGCAGTGCACAAGAATGATAACTCTTCCTTTCATAATTTTTGAGTTATTGCCCTTTGTTATTTTTCATACCTAATTTTTCACCTGAGTGGAGCATAACTCAAAAAGTGTTTGAGATATCAACATGAAATGTCATAGAAGGATAGATCTTATTGAGGAGGAATGTTGTGCGCAAGAATGATAACTCTTCCCTATACAATTTTTGAGTTATTGCCCTTTGTTTTTTTTTCATGCTATTTTGTCCAGAGCTTATCTCAAAAAGTATTTGAGGTATCAACTTGAAACTTCATAGGTGGATGGATCTCATTCAGTGTTTAAACAAAAGAAAGTCCGTTATGAGGTCTATCTTTTGCACGTGCACAGGTCTGTTCTAGTCAGACAGACCCGGTCATGAAAAACACGTGAAAAAATAGACCTGTCTATGTGTAGACAAAGAAAACATGAAATGCAATCAAAAATTGAAAATAAAATGTAAATAAATGATTGTCATAATAATCCTGTCTGACAAAATCTGGATACATTTTTTTAAACAAGATAATGTTTATAATTATTCCAACATTTCTATATTAAATCTTTGAATAAAATAAATGGATAGCATATCAAAGTTAGGAAACATTTAACATTTTTCTAATCGCGTCATTTTTCAAAGTAATAGTAATCTAAGCGCTTCTTCTGTCATTAAATTCACAATATAACAAAAATGGGTGCTTTAAGTTCATTTCTATGAAACTATAACAGTTATCACCGCATACCTATCACGATTCTAAATCATCTAATCCATAAAAAATTCATAGTACATAAAAATTGTACCAAACTTTCATATCGAAAAAATATAACAAAAATATGTCCGTATTATTTGTGATTCAAATAACGTCCATTTGATATACGCTTTGCCTGGGAAACCGCAGCTACCGACAGTTCCTAGCAAGGTCCCTGGTTACATTCCCACCCTCAGGATCAATCAGATTGTTAAATCCCCGTTAACCCGTCCCACCCCCTCTTTTAGTTAGGCTTTATCCTACCTTTCTATTCAACCCGCGAAAAATCAAAACTGATTTCCCCTGAAAACGTTCGAATCCAGGGCTTAGGTTCAAAGAACGTAAAAGATATAAACCAAACCTTGCTTATAGTGACATGCAGATACAAGTACTCAAAGTGGATTGGTCTACAATGGACATAGCTCCCATTAGTTATTAAAATATCGACAAAAACGATTAGGATATTATTAAAAGAAATGTTGAAAAAGAAATGTTAATATAAAGTTATAAGTAATTTAGTTTAAAAATTCATTTTCATCATTCTTATTCTAGAACACTTTATAATCTGCTATATAAATTATAATTTCGGATCATGTATCTTACACTTGTCATGCAACAATATACATATGTAAGTCTTTCATGGTGTGCTGGGTATCGGACATTTGCCCCTCAGACAGTTGCCCCCTCGGAGTTTGCTCCCTTTTTGCAGTGGCGGACATTTGCCCCCCCCCCTATCTTTGGAAGGGTTGGACATTTGCCATCACCCCCATGTTTTAAAAATGTTAAAAAATGTAATTGTTGAATTGTTTGTTACAAATATAAAAATTCATCGCCTATTGTCGAAATTCCATTTTGCATCAATAAACAAAAACTCTCGCGCAAATTTGTGAAAACTTAAAAATTAGCATCCATAAATAACAAAAATACATAAAATATATACACGAGATGACATCTGACAAGTTACAAGCAAAAAAAAGGGGGCAAACGTCCGAGAGGGCAACTGTTCAGGGGCAGCAAATGTCCTAGAATTTGAAATGTCTGATACGAAATACTATCAACATAATTATTCATTCTTTTACATAAATTCAGTTATGACCCATTCACTTTATTATTGACAAATTACACATTTAGCCTTTTTATTATTATTTTGAAAAACAAAGTTAAATGCAAAATATATACTATATAAAAGCAGAACATTGATAAAAGCTTACCTGTTTATGCGCTGTGGTAAAAAATTATCTTTGTGCATTACATCAAATGTTTCGGATCAGCCATTGCTCAAGCCAATAGTTTGACGGTGTGTAAGTTGGATATCGGCCTCGTACATCGATCTTTCTGTTTAGGAAAGACCTGGTCACGAATTTCATGAAACACCTCGAGCGCTACGCGCTCTCGGTGTCACATGAAATTCGTGACCAGGTCTTTCCTAAACAGAAAGACCTCGTACTCGGTCGATATCCTATACATAGCAGTATCCCTGTTTCTTGTAAGAGTTGATTATATTTTTGAGATGTGTTCTAAACTTTATCAATTATAATCTTTATTCACATCTTTTTATTTGAAATTGAGAATCAAACTGCAAGAATTTAATTACTATTAAGAAAACTTTTCAGTAGGATTTTTATAATAATCAGGGTTCCCACGCTGTCAGGGAAAACGGGAAATGTCCGTGAATTTGAAAACAGGAGCTCCCGGCCTTGAAAAGTCCGGGAATTAGTGTTGATACATAAAAAAGTCCGGGAAGGTACGTGAATTAGTCTGGTAAAGGGGAGGTAAATCAAACAACCAAAATGGCGGTCTTAGCACAGTATATTGACTTCTGCATCTTGAATGTTGATGATTTTTCAATTTACAAGTGTTTTGGGAGGCCAAGTTTGACATTTATGAGATTTAACATTTATTTTCTGGTTACTATGGCAGTTTTGTTTGGAAAATGTTATAAGACAGTCACAAATCGACCGCAACTTTGAATATGGAAATATTATTTGGAGTCCAAGATTTAAAAAAGATATTGAAGCAATCGAAAGAGTTCAAAAAAGAGCAACAAAAATGGTTAAATGTATTAGAAATTTATCGTATGTAGAAAGATTAAAAATTCTGGAAATTCCTACTTTGGCTTACAGAAGATTTAGAGGTGATATCATACAAGCATGGAAATTATTAAATGGGAAGGAAGATATAGAATATAATGTATTTTTTGAAAAAGCACAACTTGATAATCATCACATCAGAGGAAATTCCATGAAGTTGAAAATAAAATCATGTAAAAAGGAATTAAGAAAACATTTTTTCTCATTAAGAGTAATACCAGAGTGGAATAAATTACCAGATTCTGTAGTATGTTCACCAACGCTGAATTCGCTAAAAAACAGACTCAATAAGGTTATGAAAAACAAATTATATACTGTTATACCGGATAATAATCATTGGGTGTCAGACCTCGAGGGGGTTATAAGAGATTTCTGATCTCGCGACCCTACGCTGGATAAAGTAAAGTAAAGTAAAGTACAAGTTTGCTTGATTGGCCCGTGCTAAGAAACATGAAAGCTCACAGGTCTGGTTGTTTCCTTGGGCAATTTGTTTAACCTTATTGCTCACAACCATGCTAAAAGCCAAAGGTAAATCAATATAAAATAAACAATAGTATTACATACATGAACTATTGTCAAGGCAGAGCACAGCCAGTTGGCCACACCATATTTGGGTAGCAAGAAATACCCAAATATTAGTCACAATATACTAAAAATGAATGTGTTATACTAAAAAAGTGCTGTTTTAATCATGAATACAATATACACTTTCACTAAGATGTAATCGAACATACCCAAATTTTCATTTTTGAACCAAAATATACCCAAATACAGTATACTCCATGAAAACTATTAAATAAAAAAAATAATACGAATGAACTTGTATGAAATTACAACAAAATTATACCCTTCAAATTTAAATGTAGACAACAAATCTCATAACTTGCAAGTACATTTGTCTATTCATTAATGAACCTAACAGTTAGAAAAGCAAATGTCACTTTTTTCTTACAACATCTGAACTGCCAATTTCAACGGAATGAATGAAAGTAATAGTTGGCTAAGTCACATTATTTTGAAAATATCAATTCATTTTCTCATTAAAATCTATATTGTATACAAACCAAAATGAATATTGCTAAAATTGTGTGTGTTTGGGTATTTTGTGCTGCTGCCATATTTTGTAGAACCCGTAGCACTGGCTTAAGCAGAGTACAACATTTAAACATGAAAGTTGTGAAATTTTTCATGTAGAAACACCTGCAGGCAGTTTTCATATACCCTTCAGTGTGACATGCTTTTGCCATTCTATGCACCTAAGTGGACTGAGGTCAAATGTGAGGTTACTTATTAAAGTACTATGAATATCTTGTAAAAAAGTGATCCCTTGGAAGCATTAAAAACACCAAAATTACATGAAAATTGCAGACAACCTGCAACAGTTGCTGTCACAAAGTACATTTCATTACTTATAGACACTGAATGTTTTTCTTAGATAGAGTTAGATTTATGTCATGAACTACATGTATTATATTGTTATTAAATGTTGTTTTAAACATTACCATGAAAATATTCATAGGACAAAAAAATTGAATAGCTTGAAATTCAATCTTCTAAAAAGTCCTTAAAAAATCAAAAAAGGTCCTTGATAAGTCCTGGAAAAGTCCTTAAATTTTCAAAATATCTAAGAGTGGGAACCCTGAATAATAATAATTATTATTTAACAGTCCATTATTATTTCAGTTTATTTCATGCTTTCCAGTGTTTTATTGTAATATATCAGATGATTATATTCTGATAAACCACTAGTGAAATTTATAAAATATAATTTTCACTGTAGCCGGACTATATCTGAATGTGGATGAAAAGAAAATTAAACTAAATGGAATAACAGACTGAAATAAGTGCCATCCTACGTAAATTTTGCTTGTTTAGGAAAAGACCCAGCAAACACAAGACGTCATACTGACGTCAGATTTAAGTCAGGTTCTGACGTCGGATGACGGTCGGAAAAACGGTTGGATTTGAAAGTTTTTTTGACGTAATAATCTGACGTCAGGTAGACGTCAGAATCTAACCATTATTTAACCAATTTCTGACCAAAATCTGACCATTATCTAACCATTTTCCGACCTCAATCTGACCATTTTCCGACCTCAATCTGACCATTTTCCGACCTAAACCTAACCAGTTTCTAACCATTTTCCGACCTCATCTGACCATTTTCCGACCTAAATATTAACCATTTTCTGCCCTAAATCTGATCATTTTCCTTATCTTTTTTGTTTCACCACGTCATAAATATTTTCTGCCTAATCATGATTTGATCGAATTTAATGTAACTCATTCTACTAAGTAACTTTCCCTCAAATGAAATGTATAACAGAAAACTAGAAGCAAAATTATTTTTTATGCTTTTTTAATTTAAAATAAAAGTTGCAATTTTAAGCTGATACATACAATTTTAGTAAATTCTGCAAGGTTAAATAATTTTCATAAATTAAACAAGATAAAACATTAACTAAGTTAATTACAAAACAAAAAGTATTACAAAAACAATGAAATAAATGAAACTAAGAAAACATGTACAAATATTATAGAACAAAACAATGTATGCACATTTCTATCAAAGTTTGCCTTATCAAATTAAATAATGAAAATATTATAATTTTAATGAAAATATTATAATTTTAAGAAAAATTAAAAGATTCTGATAATAATGTTTCAAGCAATTAATGACAGATTTTCAGTATTTCAACTATATTTCTACAGCATTTCTAAAACATTTAGTGCCATTTTGCATATTTTGACCTCCTTTGATAATTGTCAGTAATGTATAAATTGCTGCTTTTTAGTTACTTCACAAAGTTATACTTTTAGATATCCATGAGAATTAGCACGAATTTTGAGGTGTGATGCTTTAAGATATGACCTTCTTTCAGCACCCCTCGTCTGTCCGGAGGATATGTAGCGTTTGTAGCGTCCAATAGCGTGTGTGACATCATTTTCACTGAAAAAAATAATTATGAAACATGGAAAAATAACAAGCAAAAATGTTTCCATGGTTATCTTAACTTAATGAACAATTTTGCCAACTTTTTATAAGAGAGCTTTAACAAAAATTAAAAGTAAACATAAATACTGAACATTTAAAAAGCCACTTTCAAACTCCAGTTTAGTATGGATTAAAGCATGTAATAGAATTTACAAAAATCTTACTTTCCTATGTTTCTTTTTACATATTCACGTGTTTCCGTCCCTCCGACCTTTGAGAGCATGTCCAACACTTTTACTACCTGAAAAGAAAATTATATTCTAACTTATGTATATATTCTACGTTTGAAATAGAACAGTTACGCAAGTCTTAAATATTTCATAGTTTTAAATTAAAGATTTAATGCCGAAATGTCTGGAACCAAAACGTCTTGGGTTATTTGGGACCGGAACGTTTTGGGTTATTTGGGACCGAAACGTCTTGGTCCGAAATGCTCGAAATCGTACAAATTCATTCTCAATTCTCAGATTTTAACTGACAAAAACATCACAGTTTAAGAAAAATATGAAAACTAAGCATTCTCTTTGGTAAAACTGAAAGGCATATTATAAACTCTTCACAGAGCAGAGTTAAAACATGTCAATTTTAAAAAGATTTATTATTAGACATTATCGCGAATTTGTGTGACATTTTACTTCAGCTGTTAAAATAATGATATTAAAATTTAAGAGTGCTTGCAATCATGCAATTATTTATCAAATACAAAGTAAAAATAAATCTAAATAAATTGAACTGACCTTTTTGTTCAAGAAAATCTATAATATTCACTTTATCAATGCATCCCGATTCCTGACCGACAGCCAAAACGTAACGCCTACGAATTTGAATTTCCATCCACGTGACTTTAGAATAGAATTATAGGTTAATATTATGTTTTCTTTCCCCTTTCTGTCACTATGATTAAATGTTAAAGCACTATTAAAAAAACTCGTGATTTTGATACATATAATGTACCACCCAATGAAATTTAACGTTAAATATTGGAATTGTAAAAGATCGTGGGAAAATAATTTTTAAAAATAAACTGTAATTTTATAACCGGGCCCCCTATAGTTTTTTAGGTTTCAGCGCCGGATCTGGCTGTATTTAATAAGAAAATTCATTTGTTCCAAAAAACATTTGAAAAAAAAGTTTAAATGGTTACAACAGCGAATAAGGATTAGTTTTCGTTATTTTTTTACCTACCGTCAGGACACAGACCAGAACCTAACGTTAGTACAACGTCAAAAAGAAACGTCTATTAGACATCGGTATTTTAACGTCAGATTAACGTCGTATTTTGGTCGCCGGCGTCGTGACCAAAATCTAACATTAATCCGACGTTATTTTAACGTCATGTGTTTGCTGGGGAAAGTCGATGTCACCATACATCATGTTAGAAATTAAGCAAAATTAGAGAAATTTAACAGAACTATATTTCAAAATTGATAATGTGACGTCATGATGTGATGACGTCACGAAGGAGAATGCGCGACGTTACACGGCAAAATCAGTAAACAATTCTTAAAATCACTTAAAAAGCATGAAATAAAAAGAAAATTTATTTGTTTTACATATAAGATTGAAATATATTTCATTCGTGAACACCAGCTATTATATTTTCACTCGTGGCTACGCCACTCGTGAAAATATTGCATCTGGTGTCCACTCAGTGAAATTATATTTCAATCTTACATGCAAAACAAACAAATATCCTCTATTTGTTTATTTAATTGCATTAATTGATTGCAAGACATTGTTAAATAATAAAAATAAAAATCTGTGAAATACAGTCGACTCCGGTTATAACGAACTCAATGGGACATTAAAATATCGTTTGTTATATCCGAAGTTCGCTAAAAGCGAAGTAGCAACAACTTGCTGACTTGTTTGGATGGGGAAATTTGCCTTGAAAAAGCCATACTCTTCACTGGTTACCGGTGTAACTAGTATTTCACTGCAGTGGTTATTTAATGTGGGGCATTTTATTGAGCAATATATTATTCATGTATTAATTGTCTATGAAGTTATTACCATTTGTTTCCTTTTGCTATTTGTTTATTATCGTTTGGTTAATATTGCAAACACAAAAAATCGATTACTTGGCAATTATCGGGTATTAACAGCAATCAACTAAGGGTGTGAAATACAAATTTTCCGTAACAAGTAGGAAATTATGTTGTGAGAACATTTTATCAAAATCTTTATTCCCTCACTCGCCCGGGTGTAGATTTTCCAGGGTAAGCCTGGAAGAGAGGCTGGTAAACCCTGGAAAACTATGGAATAGCATGGAATTTCATGGAAAATTGGTATTTTTTTCCATGCTATGTGGACTTTTTTTGTCCAGCCATTTCCAGCATTGCTGGAATAGGCTGGAAATTGGCTGGACATTTGTGGTAAAAGCCTGGAAAACCATGGACTTTACTTCCATGTAGCATGGAAAGTGGAACTTAGATTTTTTTGATGATGGAAATGTGTTAAACTTTCTCTAAGTATGCTGGAAAAAACTTGTAAAATTACAACAAGAAATCTTACTTTATATATTCAGCAAAATATTGTAAATTTACGAAGAAAATATACAATCATCATTTATTTTAATGCAAGTTACTGTAAATGATTTGAAATTTGACACTTTATACATTTCATGCAGTTGAAAAAGGGTATCTCAGAAAAAATGTCTATGCTAAAGACATAAATGAATTGATTGTTCAAAATACATATTATTATTTAAATAAATCTACATGAAGTTATGTACAATGAAATAATATCCATTTAATTACAGGCTTTAAGTTTAACTATAAATTAATTAAAGTCTTTGAGACACTCTAATAATCAAGATGGGATTGCATTGCTTGCCATTTTTAAATTGTAAGAATTCATGGTTTTAGATAACAATAAATAAATAAATAAACAAAACAGTGCATGAAAGAATCTCATATATATTCTATATTAAATTGACCAATATTTAGGAAAATAAATACTACATCCACTGAGATTTTACTGCTACACAGATCAGAGCTCTGATAAAACTCATTGACCAGCATTTTCTCACCATCTGTGCATGACTAATTTACTCCACTGGTCATTTCAGATCAGGCTGTTCCATGTGATTATTTTGGGGAGAGATAACATTATAAATTTCATATGCAGAATGTGTCTAGAAGGACATTGCAATCTTTTTTGTACAAAAATTTGTAATGATCTTTAAAATCTATATATCTATTAGCTATTTGATATTTTCTTTTACGCTCAAAGAATAAAAGTTAAAATGATGAGTAGATTAACCCTGCTTTACATAATGATTATTTAGACCTGTCCAGTAACTGTTGTAAATTTTGAATTCTAAGATATCTGGGTCAGCAAAGAGAGCAAATTACAGAGGATGTACTTGATATTTTAGCAGTTTTGGAGATATTGTTTTGTTTAAGACTTTAAAGTGTTTAAGTATTGGTATGATAACAATTAGAATCACCTGGGACAAAGAGATATACAACAGAATCAGGTATTTATAAACCTTAAGTTAAATCATTGCAGAAACAGGTTATATACCAAACTATCAACATTTGTAAAAAGAGATCAAGGTTGTTTTTGTATTTTCATCTTCATGCATTTGTTTTTCTGATAATTGTTTTTAATCTATACATGTATAATCTGTAAAATATAAATTATTCAATGATTTCTTTATAATGTATATTGTTAAAATGACAATTATTAGTAGATCTTTTTCATTTCCTACAAATAAAACAAATTAAATCAATTTGATTAAATAGGACTAAATGGTACAATCAGTAGTTTTGTACAGCTGAACAGGGTCATCATATGATAATCATTTGTTATTTACATGTATGTGTTGTGTTTTCAATGATTACATTTTACATTATACAATTACATAACTTGCAGGCTGGGACATAAGTGCTGACTGTGAGAATTACCAGCAGTGTATAATAATGATGTGCAGTATTAATCCTGAAAAGGTATATTTTTAAATCTCAATACGTGTACTTTTTTATTCCATGTCTTTGCTTGAAAAAATACATACTGGGTGATAAATATTGTCTCAAATTTACTTAATTCTTATACATGTACTTTGAGAGAAATTCTTAAGCATTGCTTTAGTATTTTTGAATATGCATAAGCATTTTAAGGGAATATTTAATAGTAAATACTGTTGAAACATTAGATTCCATGTTATTAAAAGATACGAAATATAACTGCATAATATTTATATGCAATAAAACATAAGTCATTACCATATCTGTGTTAAATTTATTATGAATTTTATCTTTAAAGGTGAGCACAACCACAATAAGTTCTAGGAAACACAGACAGAGGACTTAAAATGGACATCAATAAAAGAAATAGTAATTTAAATAATCAGAAACACTTGAAACAAATTTAAGATTAAAAAAGGTTTCTCATTGACAGATTAAGAGCAAAATAATTGCTAAAATATATAAGACAACCAGAACCTACCAAACCTGCAGCTAGTAAAATCAAAGCACTGAATGTACTGATGGGGAGGCTATGACAGAATGTTTCAGACTTATAGTTTCTTTTCTTTTTGCTTAAAATGTGCTGTTATTTCAATTATTACCAAAATAAGAAGATATGCACATTGTGTCATTTATCCTTACTGTTGTGTTCAACCATTCATATATATGGTTAATATGGTTGACTATTCATTTTGTTAATATTCCAGAACATTTCATTGAGGTCTACATCCGGACTGCTAATCCTGCAAATTTTGAAAAACCTAAACTGTCAATAATAAATGACATACCAGAAAGTATGACGACTGTTCATTATAAGATAACAATAACATTTTACAACTGACTGTTCCTTATCAAAATATTCTAGGACTGTTCATCATAAATACTTTATGTCATTTTAATATCATTGAATGATAATAACAACTGCAAGTTATGCAACATTTTTATTGAACATAAAAATTATACATATTTACATGTCATGTACCATAATTGAGATCAATAAGATACTGTCTTGTGATGAGTATTAATATCCATGCTCTACGGACAGAAAGATGTCTTCTTCCGAAGCAAATCTGGAATAAAATCACGTTTCAGAAAATTATTCCCATTTCATTACTCGTCGCTGACTTTGACGGCTTCGGATATTTATTAAAACTAAATATTTCTTGAAAAAATACATATCTGCAAAGCTTATTCAAAATTGAATCAACCTAAGTGAAAATTGATCAGGAAGTTATATCTTCTTTTTTTACCGCCAACACTCAACCAACTTATGGTTGTTAATAGATAGATTCTACATGTATTTTTTAAACCTCACTAGCTTGAAATATAACTGCGGAAAATCTGTTTGTTAACAGGGTGTGCGGTTATTACGTAGGGTTTACCCTGTCGACCATTTCACGCAAATAGATGAGAACATCGAAGCGTCAGTGCTATGAATGGTGTTATAATTTATAAATAGCGTGTTTTGGAAGTTTTTTGTTGAAACTTCTCCAAATCCCTCCAGAGGCGTGCACGTCGCGGAGAAGGCACACGGCAGGTCAAGGTCAAGTCATCTCAAGTACCAGAGGTGATTGGTTGACCTGTCATGACTTACTCTGGAGGTTTGGCACTAATGAATGCCGTTTTTGTTGTCGTCAGTCAGGAAGTTGATGCCTTGCCAGTATTGTCGTCTCCTTTACCACCAACGAACGAAGAATGGGCTACCAGGAAGATTCGGCTTGAAAAAGACGTCCCCGATGCTTTAATCTCGGACATATGGTTATTCCGGCCCCGAGTATAAATAAACTTAAAACACACACACTTTTGTTGAAAACAAAACAAAACAAGAACCGGTTGAACCGGGTGATGCTCCCCGAGAAGGTTCTGGACACAGGAAAGTATAAAAAAATGAACAAAGGGCAATAACTCCAAAATTAGACCAGGCTTTGTTTAGGT